CCCTCGTTCTGCACGCAGATCCAGGGGCACATGCCCCCATGCCCTCCTGGGGTGCACGTAGCAGCAGGAGCCGCATCCCCCATCCCGTGCTCCACCCCGGCTGTGCAGTGCCTGCTCTAGCCTCAGCTCCTCCCTCCCTCACCACCATGGGAACATATCCGTATTTAATACCTTATATATACTGAGTTCCCTTTATGTGAATTTGAATTGTATGCAGTTTTCCTGAAACGCATGTATAGCATATAGCAAAGGAAACCTGTGTATGCAGCAGAATTAGAGCCTCTAATTCTGCTGTATACACAGGTTTCCCTCTTATTTAGAAGGACACTTAAGGTGAGGTTCTGAGGCCCTCACTAAACTCATCACTGGCCCCTTTGTGCCAGGTGAAAGGGTGGAAGAAGGTTCTGTTGGATGGTATGTTGGACAGGCATCCCTAGTCTGTGCCTTGGTTTCCCCATTGGAAAAATGGAGATAACAATACAGGCCTCTTGTGTGAAGTGCTTTGAAATCTGCTGCTGAGAAGTGTTTTACATGCCAGTTTTGGTCTGCAGCTTTTAGGGCCTTCACAGTCCCTGGTCACAAAGCAGCTAGCCTGAACAGAGTGGCTCAGCTTCAAGTGATTGTAAAAGTGGTTTAAAGTCACTGTAGAGCCCTTTCTCCTGAGAATTGAATTCTTTGCCCATTGGTGATGTGTAGGGGGTGCACCCCCTGCGAAAAGCGCTGCTGGCCTGTGGGCAGTTGCCGCTTGCTACCCCCGCTTCACCCCCGACACCGCTGGCAGTGTTTGCGGGTGGTCCCTGATCGCCATTGGCTGCTGCTGGCAGCATCTGCAGGTGGTTACTGACCACCAGTCTGTGCCCCCCGCCGCCGCCACCACTGTGGCTGCCTGTAGGAGCTCCCCGCTCGCTGCTGCCACGCCTCTGCCACCACCGACTGTGGGTGGTTGCCATGCCCCCCCAGCCTCTGGTGGCACGCAGCGTTCATGTCTGTGCCTCTTAGAGATGCATCAGAGGGGCTCACCTCCAAAGTATTGAGTGGTAGGCACGTGATGGTTATCAGCATGGCTTCAGCAGCAGGGAGATGGCCTTGTTGGACTGAACAGGCAAAATGAGCTCTGTATGATTTCTGCCCTATATAATTAATGTTAAAAAGATAGAGTGCAGTGAAATAGAATCACACTCACTGCAAAAACTTCAGTTGGGTAGGGGTTCACCTTTCCCTTAAATAAATCTCCCACAAAGGCTGGTTTCAGTTATGGGAAGATGGAAGAATCATCATATCTTTGCCCAGCCTTGTTGTGCAAATACGGTAAAATGATACAGGCTGGAGTTAGCTGTTTTTTTATTAACATCAACAATACAGTAGCCAAATACAAGTTTTCCTGCTTGCATGTGGAGAGCCTCATTCTGAAGTTGGATTCAGAAAAAAACACTGAGCTCATGATTGTTTCCAAGTAAACTTGAGCTTGTGAGAACAGGTAGTTGCTGTGGGCTAACTCAGAGCCTGGGAGCTTCCCTGTTTTCAGAGCGTTTTGGTGGCATCAGACAGATGCTGGCACTGTAGAAAGGTGCTTGTTTGCAGCAGGCAGCTCATGGTGACCTGAAGGATGCTAGGTGTCATGACTCATACAAGCAACTTCATAACTGGGGATTGTTTTATCTGCTTTAGTGAAATGAAACTGTTGCTTGGACAGCTGTTTGTACCAGCCTTTGAGTTAAGAATGGGATTTTGACTTTCTGTTGTGCTTATTTCTGTTCCCTGACTGAACAGCTTAAGTAAATAAGTATTATGGCTGTTAGAAATCAACGCATAGACTGAATATGTGTAAACACTCTGCCTGTAGACTTTGCCTCTGCAAAGCAACCATGTAGTCACAGTCAGTATCATTGCTTTGTTGTCGTTGTTAAACGTAATGAATTCATATTGGCTTACCATACACACACTTCTGTAAGCATATCAGTGCGCAAAGTCTTTTATGCCTCGGATTTAGACTTGGTCATGATTCTTTTCCACAGGAACATTCCTACCCCAGCGAGGCCAAGCTGAAGGAACAGCTACAGCGGGTAGTGCGGTGGCAAGTTTTTCGGAAAGCAGCTTTGGCAAACACAATTCAAGGGATTGAACTGAAACGCAAATTGCTTCCACGTTCCCCGAGTATAGGGCTCTACGCATGCTCAAAAAACTAACTCATGTTTCTGCCAAAAATGGAGGGATGTCAGTGAGTACATGCTGGAGAAATAAAAACCTAAATCCCCAGACCCCCCCTCCCCAAACTGTTTGGGAGATGGTAATATATTAAATTAGGTCTCTAATTTTTCCATGATTATGATAAATTACACGATGAAATGTCAGAGAAGCATATTTCTCACTATGTCTTAATAGTGCCATATACTCTTTCCTTTACATTACAGCATGTGGTGAAATGACTGCTACACACACTTGATTGGTTTCCATGTAATTCTTTTAGCCAAAAAATCTCAACAAATGAAGTAAGTGTCTCTTGGGCAGTGAGTATACTCTGGGAGTGTCACTGCAGAAGGTTCTCTCAGGCACATTTACTCTAATACATGTATAAGCATAGTCAAAACTCCACTGCCTGTTTCTGAAATCAGTCAGAGGTAGACTTGTTTGATGCTCTTTTACAGCGTTATTTCACTGCAGAAAAAAAATCAAAAGGAAAGAGCAAGGAAGTCGAAAAGCATTTACTTCAGATACCTATATTTAATCCAAACTTGTGGATTTCTAGAGCCTGCATGAACAAACAGGCTGACTGTCATGAAAAATAGCAAACGGTTATATTGTGTCTTTAGTAATTTCTTACGATACTGAATCTTACCTGTCAAAAGAAAAGCCTTTAAATGAGCTTCTTTAATTAGAGAATCGGTTTGTGCAAGAACAACAATTGCATCTAACAGTGCACATTATTGTGCGGGCTGGGAGCGACCCGAGCCCTTTTCCGCGCTGCATGCGGGCTGTGGCTAGCAGCCCGGGCACGCCGGGTCGGAGAGGGTAGGCCGTCGAGCTGGAATTAGGCACAAACACGTATCGGTAGTTTTAAAGATTGTTTACTTACACTGAGATGGCAGTGGTGTAGGCTGGAAAACTTGCTTGAGTTGCGGTTACAGACAGACAACACAGGCGGTCTCGTGGAGGTTGCTAGGCTCCATGGTACAGAGCTCCGGATGCTCTGGGTGAACGAGCCACCAAAATGGGAATCGTAGATACATCTTATAAAAGTCACGCTTGAAGACGGGAAGAGGTGGGCGGTGGATCAGGCCGCCAAGCTCCTCTGGATCTCTCACAGGGTTTCTACTACCCTGCCGTGTACCCAGAGTCCCCACGAGATGGATGTGGAGTCCTCTTCAGCTTGGGCAGAAACTGCTCAAGCCTCTTATACGGCTAACAGGCCAATCGCTAGCCGCCACGTGTGAATAATTTAGCGCTAGCTAATCACGGGGAACAAATTTGCATACCGGTGGCGGGAACTCTTTTGCACTGTGCATCCCTCTTGCAACATGAGCAATGCACTCTGCAAAAGAAGCTGCAGAAAAGGCGGGAAACTCGTCCCTGCACCAGGGTTTTCCTCTGCAACAGGAAACTCTCCCGTGCAATGCTCTGCAGCTTGGCAGGGATAATTCTGGTGCCGAAGCACACACACAATCATGCCTTTTAGGTCATGACAATTATTACCATCTTTTTGCATATTTTCAAACCCATTTTGAATTATTTTTCCACGATGCATGTGAAACTGTATTTCTTAGCTTATCTTGGATCAGATATGTATTCCTATCTCAACAATGCAGAGTTTCACTTTGCAATTCTAGTTACTGCTTATTTTGAAGTTGCCTAATTTTTACTGGTAAATGCTTTTTATAATCATTTAAGTTATAAAATAGTTGTGTTTTGGCTTTTGACATAGATCAGTTAGGTACCCGTACCCAAGAGCAGGAGCTCCTATCTATATAGTTAGCTGGAGTTTTCAAAAACAGATCTTTATTTGAGATGACTGGTAGCTTACCAAATGTATTTTAATCTTAAGGAAAATGTGATAAACATTTTAAATGCATGAGACTTTTTTGTTTTTTAAGCGATTAAGCTTGTTCTTTATTACAGACAATGGTAACAAATAACCAGAACACAAATCCAAGGTAATCCATTTTAAGACTCTAATATTACATTATGAATCTGGATGTAATAAGAGTTCAGTGCAGTACAGAATGCTTGAGAAACAAATCACTCATTTCATGCAAGAACTGTCACTGGGCATTATAGCTCAGTGTGGCCACATGGGGGACAAAATGTCTCTAATACCTTCTTTATTACAATGGTAACACTGCTGGTGCTTTACTTTCTATGTGAAGAGACTTGCACAGTAGATATTAAAAGATGCATGAAAACCTCACTGCAGTAGAAACAGTGAATGAATGCAGTCAAGAGGGAAAATTTCTAAGGAACTCAACTCATTGGAAACATCTAGAACTTGAATATTCATTTTTACTTCTAAAAGCATTTAAGAGAGGAAATGTGATGTAAACATATGCACTGTCCAATTAACTTGAATTTTCACCTCTAGTAAAATAATGTAAGTAGTTTCTTAATATGCTTAGTTTACAAAAGGAACAAAAATCATGACAGTTCGTATTTATTCTGCTCTTACCACATAGTTGTAAGCTGTGTCACCATTTCAACAGGGATCTAGTTCAACTTAACTGTATTACAACCATCTTAATCTGCTCATGCTAGACATAGGAAACATATGGCAGTATATTAGTGCTACAGTATTTCTCTAGAATTATTTTTATTCAGTTATCACTAGACACGTTTCGTTAAGGCGGATTGTACACTTCACCACCCAACCAAAAGTAATGGTACATAAATATATTAAGGAAATATTTACTGAATTAACAGTTAGTTGAGGTAGCAGGATCATAAAAACAAGCAGCAGGATCTCCGTACTGAAAAACAGATGCCAGTTCTTTATCAAAGCATAATCAGAGGAACCATTTTGTTACTCTTATGTTTTGGCAATACTATGAACTAAGAACAAAAAGGAGAGTTCTCTCTCAGCAGGGAGGGGGAGGGTGGGAGAAAAAAAAGCCTTCCGTTAAGTTATATCACCCAAACCTTTCAAACTAAAGAAAACTGTCATCAGCAGTCTTGTACATCAATGTTATGATCTTCGCACAATTTCTGCAAATTTGGGGGGGGGTAAATAAAGGCCAGCCTGCTACCTCTCAAAATGCTTTAATGATGTTTTCAGTTGTGAACATCATGTATTCCCATTTAACTGAAAAACAAACAGTAACAAACTCAGGCACATGGAAGTGTTGCTAATTCCACTAGTAGATTTGCACTCTT